GCAGTAACAGGCTCTGGGGAGTGACAAGGGCTGTTCTTCTTACTCTGCAAAACAGGGCTGCCGGACCCTCCCGTCCAGTGACAGCACCCAGGGAGCGGGTCGCATCCCATCGAAACTCCCCCCGGCATCAGGCGCTGGCTCAGCAGAGCAGGCCAGGAGCTGAGCCCCGACCCAGGGTCTCCCACACGCCAGAGCCACTGGCTCGCAGGCGCCGCGCTCCCCGTGCACGACGTTTGCAGGAACGGATCACGGGTGAGCGTGTGGGGACGCTCGTGCCCCCATGGGAGCTGCTCCGGGTGCAATGCCGAGCCCTCGTGCTCAGCAGCCGGATCAAACGCCACCTCGCACGGAAACCAAACACCTTCAGCTCCGCACAGGAGCCTGGCAGTACGCGTGTGTAGGTATTTACTGTGTATATTTACTGATGCCAGCACCCCCCGTGGGAAGGGGCACACGGGGCGAAGGCGGGAGGCGGCTGCTGCTGGTGGATCGCTGGGAGTTCCCCAGCTCCCTCTCTTCAAGAGCAGGACAAATCCCATTATCCAAGAAAGCACGAAAAGGAACTGTCAGCTCCTCTGTGGCTGTGAGCTAATTCTCTGCTGTTCTGGGTGATGAATTTAAACAGCAGCACCTAATGAGAAGCTGCAGGGCATGGATTACACTGTCAAGGAAATGTTATTCAAACAGACACTCATTTACCTTCCCATGAACTGCACGACTGTAATGCACTAAAACGCGTCGGGATCCAAGCACTGGGTTACTCCTAGGTGCAGCTGAGGGGGTCAGCCCCAGCAGCTTTTGCTCCCAAAGAGCCTCTGGGTGAGCCTTAGATACTCAGAGAGCTCTTCAAAACTTCCAGCATTTAAAAATGCCACATTTGACTTTACCTACACCCAACACCAGCCCTGTGAGGAGCGCTGCAGGCTCTGCTCATGGAAAGCCGGGTCAGGGCTGCGGGAGGGAGGATCCTGAAGCGTGGACTCTGGTTTCTAAGCATTTAGGAGGTCTTGGAATCGCCCCGCTGGGTGCCGAGTTCAAAGCCGAGTCCAGCTGCTCTGCAGGGATCGTTGAGGTGCCGGTGGCGCTGGCTGTGGAGGTGGCAGAGCCTGGGGGGAGCCCCGGTGCTGCCAGCCCCTCCTTGGGGCCCAGACGTTGCGGTTTGCGAGACCGGACGAGATCCCTGGGGAAGCCTCAGGCTCAGCGCTGGCTCCCCAAGCAGAAGAAAAGAAGAAACCATCAAGTGACACCAGGTCACTGCTCAGCCCCAGAAGAAACCAAACCCTGAGAGGGGCATCAGCCCTCCCGCCAGGGCCTGACCGCAGCTCCTCACCCCAGAAATGAGTCCAAGTTTCACAACTGGTTTTTCCCTTTCCCAAGCTCACTTAGATTTAACTCCTGCCCTGAGCTCCTGTGGAGCTGTCGGGCTGAGACAGGGAAGGTGCTAGAAAAGTTGTCAGCATCTCTCACAGCCAACCTCTTCTCCAGATGAGGATGTCACAGACTGTCCCTGCAGCCGGGGACACAAGGGCCCGTGCCCGATGTGCTGCAGGGGTGAGGGACCCGCGCATCCCCCAGCAGCATCGCCGCACCGGCAGCACCCCTGCCCAGGGCCCTCACCTTGGGCGTCACCGCTTTCCCACAGAATAAGCAGATGAATCAATGTTAACGAACATCCGGTCTCCATAAAGAGATAAACTAAAACTAACAGAAATCTCACTCATTTAATGAACACAGTAACCGTATTTTAAAGCAGCCATAAAAAATGAACTTCCTGCGGGGCCGCACAGCACTGAGAGAAAAGAAATTCATTTATGGCAGAGCAGGGCTGCGTCACGCGCTCAGGGCACCTGCCACCCCCCGACTCGGAGGAAGAGATCCACGCCAGGCACGGACGAAACAGGAGGAAACACGTGGACCCCTCCATCCCTACCATTGTCTGTTTAAGCAAAACACTAAAGAACTAAACCATAAAACAATTGTGCCTGCCCTGCCCGGCACGAGCACCAACCTGAACGCTGCTGCTGGAGCTCAATCCGAGGCCGTGCAGCACCGCGGGGCTTGTGCTGCCAAACACAGCCAAGAATTTAGGCGACGGGACTTGAGCCGTTTGCTTTACTTGTAAATTCACCAGTCCAACAAAATCCAACAAAAATAGGTGTTGGGCCTGTACAATCCATATATAAAAAGGGTTGGTTTATTGTAGTTCAAATACATAAACTGAACAATCCAACATTTCAAAATTAAACTTTAGAAACACAAGTTTAACATTCAAAACAGGAGTATAGTTTACAAGAATTGCCCAGAGGGGAAATCCACAGTCTAATCCAGAAGTATGTAAAGATCACTTTATCGTAAATAAAAATGTGTTTATACAACCGTCCTGTTCTGCTCCAGTAACCACTGTTACTTACCAAGTGTTTCCAACTTCGAGTAAAAATTATTTGACGGATCTTCCCTTGGGCAGAGCAACCTGATTTTGCTTCCAATTCATGGACAGTGTAAGGAACAAAGCAGAGCTGTGAACAAATTTAATTCGGTCTCTTAGTCCTAATTCTCCTCTCTCAGTTCTGACTCTGGCTTTAATGGATTTATTCCATTTACGAGTGCGAAAGCAAGCAGAGAACTGGGACCTGTGTCTCCAGAGCGCGGTCGTCAGCCACCAGCACCCTAAGCTACGGGGCAGCGTCTTGCTGCCGCAGCCGGGGCACGCGGGGCACGGGGAGGAGTTGGTGGGGCGCACGCAGCGCGCGCTCCAGCCACCAGCACGATCACCCTCCAGACTCAGGCGTGCGACACAGCTGGGAACACCTCCAAACGTCAGGCACCCCCACCCGACACGCAGGCGCTGCGCCCACCCCTGGAGTTACCGAACCACATGTTCAGGCTTTTGCCAGTCACGCCCCAAAGAACCTTGGAAATACCTTTAACGCGGGGGTTTGTCTGCTGGCTTCCCCCCAGAGACCACTTTTATGTTCACAAATGCTGCTTCTTCCTCTGCTCCTCAGGTGGTTTTGAAATATATTCACGGTAATGTATATGTATAGACCTGACAGATGGCTCATGCAAGCTTTTTGATTTAACAGATACCCTTGGCTTAAGGGTATTTCGTAACTATTTTGTTGTTCGTCTCGTAGGCTCTGACGCTGTGGGTGGCGGAGGCGGCCCCCGGCGGTCCAGGTCATCTACGTAGGACACGATGAGCTTGCGCCTCTCCTCCGGCACGCAGTCAAGTACCAGGTACCGCTTGTCGTTCTGTAAGATCTTCTCTACGTCCTTCAGGTGCTGATCTGACTCCTGGATCAACTTTTTGGATCTGAAAGCAAGTGCAACAGTTACCACCCGCAGTCACCGCCCCGGGAACCTGCCCGGGCTTGCCGTGGGAGCACGTGGAGACACTGGGAAGGCGATGCAGGGAAAGGGAAGAGAGACCCAGGAGTCTGCTGAGCTGGAAAGATGCTGCTTTGGGTCGGGACGGGGCACACCCACAGCCCTCCCTCCGCGCACAGGACGGACACGCTTGTTGCCTCCGCTGGCGCTACATGAGCCAAGCTCCACGGAAGACTCGTGTCTGGCTGCAGCAGCGTTGTACGGCGCTGCAGGAAATACACAAACGCTAAAACCCAAAGGTGACCAAAAAATAAATAAAAATAAAAATCGAGACTTTCAAATTCAGCACGTACATGAGGCAAATAATGAGAATTTGGGTGTGGGAATCTCAGCTACGGTCCCGCTTGACTGATGAACCCTCCCAGCTGCAGCTGCTTAGAGCAGCCTCACTGAGCACCTAGAGCAGGGCCCAGCACACAGGCGGGGAACCCTGCGGTTCATTAACATCCACAGAACCTAATTACATCTCCTTCGTCGGTGAACCCGTGTTTCTGATGGGAAGCTTGTTTTGGTCCACACCCACAATCCTCTCTCTATCAGCCTTTGCATCCCTTGAAACCGAGTGACGAGGCCAACTGTTATTTACGGGGTTTTGTAAAATTTCACTGAGGCCAATATTTCTCTGCTGTCTACTCCAAAGACCTGAGGCAGAGTCCTCATCTCAGCACCGATCTCTCCCGAGTCCAACCCTTCCCAAGCGTGACGGAGAGCCCTCACCGCGCACTGAACGGAACGCCTCACAGCCCCGAGCTGCTCACAAAACGCTGCTCTGAGGCCAAAGGGAAGCTCACACCTGTGTCGGGTGGATTTTCATTACGTGTAAGCCAGCAGCAGAAATGTCAAAACAAAGCAAAACGAGGTCTCCAGCTGCTGCAGACTTTTTTTTTTGGACAGGTTATGAAAGATTGTAAAAGTGTAATTTAGACATCAGCTATGCTAGGGGGAAAAAGAACAGACATCAGTTCATTACCGTCAGTACGGAAAAACACAAGAAAAACCTCAGTCCTTTGTTCTTATGCTACACACCTGTACGTTATGAATTTGGTCTCTTTCAATAGCGTTCGGAAGTCAGCTTTGGCAGTAATGTATTTGTCTCTTATGTATTCCTCAAACTCCCTTTGTTTTTTCTGAAAGAAAAAAAAGTTGGGGTTGAAATTGAACACAGACCAAGTACTGCACAGAAGCAACAATTATATGTTAAATATATTTTTCCTTATCTTTTACGGTTTTGATTTTAAAAAGTATCTCATTTAACCAATAACACTTCTGTTCATATAAAACAGAAACTACTTCACCCACCATTAAGTCTCTGAATCCCGCACCAAAGCGATGCAAACCACTTACCCTGTCACTTGAAGAAAATTTAATGCACCTTGGGTCTTCTTTAATGATTTTTTTCACTTCTTTCCATGTTGATGTTAAAGTTATCTTTCAAAAAAAGCAAAAATAGTTAAATTAAAATAAAATCAGATTGTAAGAATAGGGAATGTCAATGTTACTACATCGGAAGCTTTTAAATATCTCCCAAATCCACGAACAAAGGTGTTGCTGTATTTCTGTGCTGAATTTTGATTATTTATGCTACTACATGAGTATTTTTATTAGATGATTTTATACATTTACCTTTCTTTAGTATTTTGAGAAGGCATTTTCAGATCACAGTCCTCACAGACATCATTTATATCCCAAGCAAGACTCGCTAAAACCCCACAACACACAGAGAACAGGTGACAGATTTCCACAGCATTACACAGGATAAAAGTTCAGATTCAGCAGCACAGAGAAAGCAGAACATCAAACAGCTGGACTGGGTAAGGTTATATACTGGGAGTCGTTAAGACAAGCACCCTGAGTATCTGAAAGAGCAAGATGCAATATTGCGTCGAACAACTCTGTGTTGAAGAAACTAACGTCCTGCAGGAGATAAAAAGATCACGGGTTAGAAGCTAAAATGTAAATGAACCGTGTGTTAAACCAACACAACAGTTCAGATTAAAGGTAAGGAAACAAAACTGCACGAGTTAGGTAGTGGTGAAGCAAAGGGGTCCTGGAAATAAAACCAAACAAATTAGCTGGTGTGGCAGAAAACCAGAAAAAGAGAAATTACAAGGGGCTGGCAAAGATTTGAAGTTTGCATGTGCGCAGCTCTTACCGCTGAAGTTTCATCCAGAAGCTGCCTGAAGTGTTCCCTCTTCTTTTTGGTAAGTGCTTCGATGTGTTCATTAAAGAGCTTCTCTTTCTCTTCTCTTTCTAGCAAGGAGCCAGACTCCCATCGATGATCTTTGCGTAGAGTCCTCCTGGTGTCAGACCATGACACATCTGAAGAACGCACCTGAGCCAAAAGAGGATTATTTTTTAAACCCTTTGTTCTGCAGTTCACTGGTATTTCTAATGAACTACTTAGGTTTTGTATTTCTCTCGTTTTTAGTTAAGGTTCAAATCAAAGATGAAAAAAACCCACACAAGCAAAACCAGATAGCTTTTAAGTAAGAGACTGTGGTGGCTTCCCCACAAAGTGGAAACAGGAGGAGAGCAGTGGGGAGATGCAACAGGCTCCTATTTACTTTTAAACTTAACCAACACCATAAAGCTTTTACAAAGCGCAGCCATTGGGAAAAGAACGCAGTGATGAGCTGGGAAAACCCGTCCGTGTCTCACCATGTCAGAGAGAAGCGCTTTGAAGTTCTGTATAGCTTCTTCCCGTTTGTGCTGCTCACGTTCCCTGTCAATCTCCTTGGTTTGCTCCGAACGCGCTTTCTGCACTTCCCTTTCTCGCTCACGCAAACTCGCCTCAATGCGAGCTTGTCTTTCCAACTCCTTCTCTTTTTCAGAATCTAAATTCTGAAATGCAAGACAAAACGTTTCTTGATCAAAACAATGCAACACCTTCCACACTTCCGTCAGATGGGCAAGTAAAGGGTTGTCAAACTGAAGGCATCTCGGAACAAAATGGTTCAAAGCGATTTGAGATTTATGGATCAAAATTCAGCCTTGACAGCTGCGGATTAAGAGAGAGGAACCAGGGAAGGAGCTGTGTAGGATCCATCTACTATACTCCTGAGGAAAGTTCAGCTGATAAAAAATAAGCACAGCAAAGGAGACCCTGCCCATTCCAGCAGGAAGTAATCAATATGGCATCTCTATTTTCCAAAGTTTTAGAGCAATTTTTACAACCAGGAGCTTCACACAAGTCCCTGCCCCTCTTGCTCTGCTGGTTACGCTCTCCCAACACCGTGTGCGTGGACGTGCGTACAGCGGACGCCTGCAGCCGCGCGGCCCCAGTTCTGAGCTCTCGCTGTGGGGTACTTCCCAAATAACTACGGCACAGAACCCTGTTCAGCAGGGAGCTAAAGCACAGTCCGTCTGTCTTCCACCAGTGCCTTCAGCTGCCAACAGCTCGCCCACGGGACGGGGCGAGCCCTCCCAGCCACGCTTCCGAATGCCACGTGCGGAGCGGCCACCGCCCCGGGCTGGCAAAGGAGCTCACCTTGGCGATTTTCTCTATGTACTGTTTGAAGAGGTCCTCCCTCTGGGAAGAGCTATCCACGGCTTTGTACCGGGGGTCAGTCTCTACTTTGTCCTTCACTTTGCTCCAGCGAGACTGACTGTCCAGGTGGTGATTAGCCAGCAGCTCAAAGAAGTCCATTTTGATCTGTTTTACAGACAGAAACAGAAAGACAACGCTTGAGAAAGACGCTTTGATACCCAACGGTTTGCTCTACGAAAAAAGGAATCGACTTACCTCCAGCAGGGAAGTATATTAATATTACATACCGTTACAATTTAGAGAAATCACTAGGACTCTGAATTTAGACATTGCTGCATCTCAAATTACTTCCCCTTGGGAAAATTTTGCTGAAGCAGATACATTAAAAAGATCTGCTACATCTAAGATGAACTTCATTCTTTAAAGAATGATTCGCCAATACAATTTTTATTGTTTTACTCCAATTTAAGCTGCTTTTGAACTTTCATATATGTCTCAGAGCAACATGTTACCGGTTCTACATTATAGTACTCTGCATACTAACATTAGAAAACCTTTGCAGTTTTAAACGGGGCTCTAGACAAATCCAGCATTTACGGATTCATCCTCCAAGTGACAATTAAGAGGTAAATACTTGGATCTGCTGGCAAAGAGCAACGTCTTACAATGGATCTAAGCAATAAAGAACCCCGCACGTATGACAGTTAAGTCAAGTACATTCAAGATGGATATGCACAGAGATATAAGAGCTTAAGGAAATGTTTTAGGATACTTTTTCAAATGGAAATGGCACGTCAGCACCCTGTCCAAGCAGCCACCGCCAAGGGCTGGCACAGGATCAGTCCTATCAGGGTTTTCGTCTCAAGGCAACTGGCAACACGTTTTCCCCCAAGCTCCCAGAACCAGCAGCTACAAGAGCCACTACTGCGCCTTTCTTACAGCTCTTTTTCTGGGGCAGCCAACCTCCCTGTTCCTGCCACACTCCAGCATTTTCTCGGTTCGTGTGCCCAGGAGCAGGGCCGAGGGGCTGGCTCTCCGCTCCCGATGCCGGGGATCCG